AAAATTATTATAGTATTACTAGCTAATACTATCTAATATATAAGATATAATTAAAGTATTATAATATAAATAATTATGAATAGATTATGTTAAAGTATGTTAAAAGACATCAAAGAATATTAAAGAATATTAAAGTACATGAAAGGATATTAAAAGATATAAAAAGACATGAGAAGATATTAAAAGATGTAGAAAGATATGAAAGAATATAAGAGAATGTTGAAGAATATCAAAGAACATGAAAAGATGTTTGAGATCATCATCTAAGTATAACTGTTCTACCAAAATTAAAAATGATCTTCCACTATACTATTCTATTATATACATGAATATTATAATACAAAATAATAAAAATATAGATCCTGAATATTAAATAAGATATAATATTTAAAAATAGAAAAATGATAATAAATATAATAATAAATGATATAGAAAATAGGGATAATTATAAAATGAATAAGAATTATAATAAAATATAGTTTTATATAACTAGGGAAAGATTAAGGAATTAAGAAATTTTATGTCACTATAGTAATAATAGTATTTCTTATTAAATTATATTATGATCTTGAATTTTAATAGTTTTTCAAGAAATTTTTACTTGTAAATTTATTTGCTTATCTAAAATAGTAATATTTTTTTTATTATATATTAATATATATAAGTATTATAATATTCTAAAAATTAATTAAATTTATAAAAAATAGTATTTTATTAGATTTAAAAGTTAAAAAAAACTTTGTATTATTATTCTTTATAAATATTATTAAAAAATATATATATTATTTATTATATCTTATAGTATTAATTATATTACATATAATTAAAAATAGTATTTATTAAATTTGAAAGTTGAAAGAAAACTTTATATTATTATTTTTTGTAATATTATTAAAAAGTATATATACTATTTATTATATTTTATAATATTAATTATATTATACATGATTAAATTTATATATATAATTATATTAATTATATTATTTGTAATTAAATTTACACATGATATAATCAGATATAGAATGATAAGATATCACTATTTATAAAAAAATATCATGTGATAAATGGCACTCTTCTTAAAGAATTTAGCATAGATATAGAATTTATTGTTATTCTTATATTTTTCAAACTGGTAAAGTATAATATTATTAATTAGAGAAATATAAAGTTTACTGAAATTCTTCTATCAGTATATTATATAAAGAGTATAATAAATTAAATATTATTTATATTTGATATATGCAAAACTCATGCTGATAAGTATCAATTTTCAAGATTATTATTAGCAGAAAAAGCTGGAGAAGATTATGCAAAAATCAGAGATACTTAGAAAAAATACATAGTGAGCGAGCTAGTAAGTATATAGATATAGTTCAATCAAGTATTACAAGTTATCATAAGTTCATCTCAAGTAAAAAAATTAGTAGAAAGATAGATTCTTGAAAGTCTGAGTTTGAAAAAAACTGCTCTTAATAATTGTTACAGATACCACAAGTTTCTTAAATTAATTTGTCAAGTCCCACCTTTTTTTATCTTTTTTCTATATAGTACATAGCCTAAATCAAAGATAGATATTGAGTATATGTATCTGTATATATAATAGATATATATGTATTGAGTATAGATATTGTATATATGTATATGTAATGAGTATATATATACATCAAGTATATCTCAAAGATATATCATTAGGAAAGAGTTTTAATTTTTCTCCTAGAATTTTATTATTTTACTTAAGTAACTTGTGACAGATATATAAAAATAATCAAGAAAGAAATAGAAAGGCTCAAAACTCTCAAACAGGCGTTACTAGTTCTGTCACAAATACCTGCAAACAACTAGCAACAACTTGTGACAAAATACATTAGTAAGTAAATATCAAGGAGACCAACTTCGGAAATATACTTTATCCGGATAAGATAGAATAAGTATATAATACATATAATAAACTCATAGTTATATTATTTTTTAGGAGATAGATGCGGATTTGATCGAATATAATGTTTATAATGTCGAAGTTGCCCACCACGGTCAAAACTACCACCACCAGCATAATGTTCTGTAGCGCCTCCATCAGAAAAACCTGCAACATTTCCCTTTCTAACAATCTACTTTCCACCTCCAATTGGCGTTAATGTAGTAGAGGAAGAGCTATAGTTTGACCTAGTTTGCTTCGGATTTGTAGTAGAGGAGCTATTTTTTGACCTAGCCGTCCTAGTTGGTTTCGAATTTGTAGTAGGGGAGTTATAGCTTGACTGAGATTTTTTAGTGGGAGTAGAACAAATAAAGATTTTAGAAAATTTGGCACCCATCTTTCTGCAGAAATATATTCGTAAAAATTCTATTCTTATATTATTATATTATACGTATATTAGTTATACAATTTGTGGCATATTAGATTAGATGACCGATCGACTGAACTATACAAAGATAATTTGCTAAGTTGAAGCTGCTGTATAATTGCAATTGATTCTGATACACTTTAATCAAACAAGGTACAGGGGGTGGAAAGAAATATTGGACGTTTCGCACGTTTTTAAATTGATTTATATCATTGAATTTTGTGTTGTTTTTGATAATTATTTTATAATAAATTATTTACATACAGTGATACATCCAGGAGTTATAAAGCTATGCGCAATTTCCTCTCAAAAAATCGCTTTTTAAATTTTACCGCATAATGTGCCATGGAAAAGAATTAACAGAAAGTCAGAAAGATGGAATTATTGTTGCAAAAAATTCTGGCCACACACATACTGAGATCTCTAAGGTTGTAGATTGTTCTGTGATCCGTGTGTTAGAAGCACATGAGCTTAAAAATTGTCTAAAAAATGATCAGATCATCTATCAATTCGTAACAACTCTGCATGTAACCATTTCAAGGCTACAGTAACCTGAAACAAAAATTCTCATCATCAAACTCTTTTCCAGTTCATACAAAGTATTAGGATCATTATATAAATATCCGAATCATTCTATAAATAATAAAATCAGAACCTTCTATAAATAAATAAAAATTAATTAAAAAAAAATTGTCCAATATTTCTTTCACCTCCCCTCAGTGGATGATCTGATTGCTTTAGATGATTTTTTAAGCTTGTGTGCTTCTAACATATGGATTACAAAACAACCTACAGCCTTAGAGATCTCAGTATGTGTGTGGCCAAGTTTTTTTGCAATAATAATTCCACCTTTCTTACTTTCTGTTAATTCTTTTCCATGGCACATTTTGCGGTAAAATTTAAAGGGCGATTTTTTGAGAGGAAATTGCGTGTAGCTTTATAACTCCTGGATGTATCACTGTATGTAAATAATTTATTATAAAATAATTATCAAAAACAACACAAGATCCAATGATATAAATCAATTTAAAAACGTGCGAAACGTCCAATATTTCTTTCCACCCCCTGTAAGTAATTATAATATGCATAGTTTTTTTAAGTTCACAGAATGATGACACGCGACTGAATGCATTGTCGGACATATGATATTTTTTTTCGTCACCTGAAGACAGAAATCGGTCGCCTTAATACTCGGATAACAAGGACGAAGCAAACGTATTCATATTGTCAAGACGCGGCACTGTGCATATCATTGAAACATCCTTTTGTGGCTCTTGAGCAATAAAGCAAATGCGATTTGCACATCATCTGATAGAGAAGGTTATATCCACTATCTCATACGCTGAGTTTTGAATTCATCGTGTACTTTGAGCTATGCCAAATTTGTATATGACGCGTATCATAAAAAGATGCATTCACTCGAATGACTCGAATGACTTGAATTTGCGATTGGCCCGTAAACTCGCAACCGCCACAGGTCATGGCATCCTCGAGATATACCCCACTCGAGTGACTTGAATTTTACAATCGACCCGTCACTCGAATGACTTGAGTTTTGTGATCGACCCATCACTCGAAGGACTTGAGTTTTGTGATCCACCCATCATAACCTAAACTAAGACGTAATTATGTTATGACGTCTATACTTACTATATTTTATCTTTAAATATAATAAATAATGAATTTTTATTATTAATGATAAGAATTTTGTTTGTAAAATTCTTTTAAATAATCAAACTTATAAAATATATTCAAAAAAAAGAGAATATGGTCAAACCCCTCTATAATTACTGTACTTGAGAAAGCAAAATTGAATGATTATAAAGAGAGATGTGACTATAGAGTGTTCTGATAGTACATTGAGATTATAAATAGAAAAAAGAATAATAATATTGAAATTACAATTGTTAATAGTAGTCCAAAGCTAATAAAACAAAACGTTGAATTTTGGGAATTCCCATTAAAATTATGCAAATCCCTGTCCAATGGAATTTAGCAGCTGGACCGAGTCCAGTGATAACACTGCCGATAGAATAATATTACATGCAATCATTTTACGGGATTCTATTTTTTAGATCAAAACAAATCGTACTAAACTTGTAATCCATTCATAATTCCCCACTTAAAAATCTGTACTGTAACTCTTTTAAGTTTGGTAAGAGAGATTCTCTCACACACAAAGTATGGCACACACGCATATATGCATACTAATATATGATCGTCCACAAAACTGTTCGTTTTTAATTCTTTTATTGAATATATAAGAAGTTTGATTTATCAATTTTGATATTTTAATAACGATATGACTATATACGGATATGTATTATTGCACATGTATATTCAGATAAATGAAAAACCTTCTTTGAAAATCCAGCAAATTCTAACAGAGTTTTATTAACGTTAACGCTAGTGGCGATTATTAAAAAAACAAGTCTCATGACTTTATGCTCTTTTGAAAGTAACGCCCATTTGATAGACACAAACACAAAAAGCAGCGCACTCTAAACTATATACAGACAAAAAGCTTAGAGTTAGAAAAATCTGAGAATTACGCAAAGATTATTGTACAATGTATACATGTACATATGTACATGTATATTGATATTGATATATGTATTTATACAGCAGCATATAGTAAGAGGGATAAATAAAAAAAATAGATACATGTACATGTAGTCTTTATACTTCGGCAACAATGTAAAATATAAAATATCCGATAAAACAGGTTGAAATAATCATCAACAGGAAAAACTCGAGGCAGAAAAATTCCGTTGTTCGTCAAACATTGAATTCCGTATCGGTATATCTATAATGTTCAGTAGAAGTATGCTTAAATTAGCAATACCGAGTACATATGAAATTATTAACTTTCCTAAATAGTAATAGTTTTGGGAAAATTTTAACCCGCCAAAAAATACTAAAGAAGGGGTTGGTTGTTAATTTGCAGAAAATCAACCAGTAACAATTATTCATCAAGCTGAAATTTAGATAATAAGTTAAAATGTAATGCGGGAAGCGAGAGAACAAACCAAAACACACGCGCATATAGTCAGTTAATATAGTGAACTAAAAAATCCATGAATTAAAGCAGGTACGCGTGCCAGTCACAAAATATTAGTGCTCGATAGAAAAAAATTATTATCGTTATATAATTGGGAAAGTTACCGTCAGTTTGCAGAATAATTTATTCTAATTATAATACGCTACGCAGTGTTAAATAATTCCAGACAAAAAAATGATAGCGTATACATACATGTAATATGCACATGAGAATTAAAATTCTTGGAAAAACATAACACACGAGGCAAATCAAAACGCTTGATTTGTGTAAACATATTGTTCTCTCTCTCTCTCTCTCTCGCTCTCTATTTATTAATATTAATGAATATCTCGTGTTCATAATTTAACAAAAACTGTTGCTACTTTATGCTGATAATTGTATAAACATTAATGCAGTGACTGTAATATTAAAAAAGTATGTGTGTGAAAGAGAATTGTGTTATTGTATAACGATAAATATTTTTATGTTGTAACTTATTAAAGAAATAATTATTTTGTGCACATGATTTATCAAAACCTAAACGCCAAATAAAAAAATTTCGATTGCCATCAGCATTATAATCTCATAGCATTACGTTAAAAGCGTTTCTCGCTAATCGACACACAAGTGCGCAACATAAGGCGAAATTTGAAAGTTTTTATTTCTAATTTAGGGATCAAATAACTTCAATGCTATGTTAACGTTGATCCGCTTCGGTTTTGTCTTACAGATACGTACACTGTGTAATCCATTTGCCCGTTCTCACACTTTATTATATGGAAGTGAATTCATAAAAGGGTGCCACAAACCAAACACCTGTACTGCCATTAAGTCTCTTTCTGATTAAGAAAGGAAAAATAAAGTTACCCGAATCCTATAAAACATTGAGGATTTGTTCGTTTTCATTTCAACTCATTAAAAATTTTTTAGATCAAGAGTTAAAATTATGAAAATCGAAAATTCATATCGATATATAAATACACTTATGTAATAATAGAATAACATATTTGAATACTGTATAGCTGCATACTAGAATACACAATATCGTTATAATATAATTTAATTGTCTTCGCGTACACTTACACACACTAACCATAATTACTTACAAGAAGTATTTAATCATTGCCAGCCTCGGTCAATGAATTAATTCTTGTCGTCGGCTTCTCTCTTGTGTTGTTCATGGCCTCACAAACACACGCTCACTCGTCGTCGACCCATTTGGCTTAACACACAAATCATTACTTCCAGTCATTTGGACTCTTATCATCTTTTCTTTTAACTTGAGAATTCAAATTTACCTTGACGACGACATAAAATAATAATAATAATAACTTTATGAACAACCAAACGATAGATCAAAAATCTCAATTACATGTACATATCATCAATCAATCATAAATAATATTTTTTCATTATAATACGTAATATCGAGCGCTTTGATAACAAAAAACAAATTCGTGGTTTAAATCATTTTTCAAAAACAGCAAACTCGAAGATAGGTAAAGTCAATTTTTTTTTTCTTTCATCGTTTTATACTATCTTTAATAGTTTATTGTCATCATTTTATCACCTCTGATCTTTCCTTCCCTCCCTCCTTTACTTAATACGATTCATTATATCTTTTACCATTCACAAAATTATTTTGAAAAAGCATCCTATCAACATCCCAAATTATTCCGGATCTTATGATTTTTATTCCCAATTAATGCAATAGCAAAAAACGCGCTTAATCTAATACTAAATATAGGTCGATTGAATTTCTTATCGTGCCGTGTGAACTAAATACTAATGTAAAACTTTTGATCATTCGATCAGGTAATAAAGCATATTTAATCACAAGTACACGCGGCCAAGATGAGCATCTCATTTACAGAAATGGCATCAAATTTTGGAATACCAACCCCACCACCGGCTTTTGATAATTTAGACGAGAAAGGTCAATTATTTTCGTCTTCATCAGATGGGACTGAAGTCTATTCACCTGACCTTACAAGTCCAATTGTCACCAATACAACCATCAATAACTCATCGTCCATTTCTACAAACAATTTGAATAATGTGTCATTACGTAAATCCAGATCTCGTTATTTTATCGCTGATGATTCGATGCTATCTTCAATTATTCCAATCATTATGAAAGAGCATAATCTCGCATCAACAGATCCTTTATCTTCATCAACAAATTGTTCATATGATAATAATGACTCATTATTATCTTATTCCTCATTCGATAACATTTCTTTATCGGAAAAAAGCTCATCGTTGTCATCTTCATCATCATCATCGAAAAGAAAACGAAAGGGAACTCCATATAAGTCACCTGATTCAAATGAAAATCAAATTGAACCTGGAATGATATTTCGATTTCCAGTTTTTTTCTCCAATGATAAATCTTCGTCGCAAAATACTTCAACAATTGCTTTAAACAGTGATCCGTCTAATAGCCAAAACATTAACCATGTTAAACATGATGATAATACTCAATCAACAATTTTTGATTATTATTCGACAAAGAAGACGACGACGGTTTCGGCACCATCAGCAACGATTATTCATCGACCATTGTTATTGCCTGATGTAATACGCTCAATTGGTCTGACGAGAAGGTCTAAATATAGATCAAGACCTGTCACTCGAGCAAAGAATAAACAGGAGGATGAACGTACTTTTATTACTACTGGGTTGGATTTACTTTTTGATGCTGCTCTTTCTACCAATCAGCCCCTCTCTGATAATCATCAACATCGTCACCAGAATCAAGAAGAAAATTTACTAAATACTCCTCGTTCGTCATTTTCACCTCAATCCCCCAATAAATTCTCTTCTTCCCAGATTGGTCATTCCTCTAATAGTGTAATTTCTAATAATAGCACTATTAATTCATCATCCTATAAAAATACGTCATCGAATGCAACAAAAAATACATTATTTTATTATATTTCCGGTAAACGACGTGCATCAATGTCACTTTCATCCATATCCACTTCTGATTTAAGTGATCTTGATGACGTCAATATTGATAACTACGGAGATGATGAGGATGATTCGGAGTTTTTGCCGAACCCTAAAAGACTTAAACTTGGTGCTGGTTCTGGTCTTGGAATTTCAATCTCATCAACTCCTGCCTCCACATTTAACAACATCAAGCATATCGCCAAAGCAAACGATAACTCGATGGCAATCAATAATTCTATTGTCACATCAAATACAACCATTACGACTATTGTCACCAACACGATTGCTACTACAAGGGAGCGTAAAGAAGCAAATCAAAGAACAAAAATTTGTGCTAGTTGCAGAACTAAAAGCACTCCCTGTTGGAGACCCGGTTGGCGACCTGATCTTTTTTTATGTAACAGTTGCGGATTGAGGTACAAAAAGACAAAATGCGTGTGTCCAAATTTAGATTGTCGATATATTCCATTAAAGTCGGAATTTAATGCAATGTTTAAGAAACAAAAGAATGGCGATATATCAGAAACGAAAAGATGTTGTAAATGCCAAAGTTATGTTACAACCAACGGTAATTGGCGACTTTGATTTATATCACGTGATTATAAAAACGAAAAAGCTAAGTTTTCCATCAATCATTGTGTCTATAGACACGCTTAAATTTTTCCATTTTAAACAAAAAGAAAATAATGGTGGATATTTCTTTTTGTTTATATTAATAAGCAAGTAATATTGTTGGCAAGTTTTTTCTGTATATGAAAATTTTTCTTTTTTACTTCTTGCAATTTTAGTTCGTTTTTTAAAGCACAAACAAACACAAAAATAATCGATAAAAAAATAATTTCGACAAATCAAAAAAAAATTCACAACAACTAATTACTTTTAATATAATACATCTTGATTATGAATTATAACGACTTTAATCTTTGAGCTCCACCAAATAAGCGTTTTTTCTCGTGATATATAATCAACCCTATTTTACCAGTTTTTTCTTCAACGCCCAACAGTTCCTTTTTCTTCTTACTATAATTTTTCTTTTTATAAATTCGTGCGTGCGCAGGCGCTTACCATTTTACATTATATCTGTCGTCCGTATTTCACCAATATATATATTCAGAATTATTGCATTCTGTTCTTGTTCTTTTATCTCTTCAAATTTTTCTCGTATGTATTTTTGATCCCCTTTATCTACCACACTTTCGTATTGACTGCACTATATATATATATATATACACTTTTTCATATTCTTACTTCCTGGGCTTCATTGAGAAAAAATTTTCTGTTACATATGTATTATAATTTTTCTTATACTTTCCACCCGTACTCACGCATTTCTAGCTCACAAGCTCGCACACTTAATATGCATGAAGAAAAATTGTTGAATGCATAAAAAAATATAAAAATTTTGACTAAAATAAAGTTATATTTTCAGATGAAAACTTATTTTATCTAAATCTGTTATTATTTAAAATTTGTCAGTTTCCTGGATGAAGAAAAATATTCTGGTTTGTAAAATATTTATTAAAAATAATATATAAGTTTCTGCTTTAGACTTTGATAAATTATTTTGTTTTTAGCAGAACACTTAATGCTGAATTTACAATTATAATATACAAGCACAATCTTTTATTATTTACAGTAGCAATCAAAAGTAATGCAACACTTAAATTTTTTACTAATTATAATTAGTAAAAAATTTAAGCGTTGCATTATTTTTGATTGTTACTGTATAATAGCTAAAAAATAAATCTTGCAAAGGTTAATAATTAAAGTACTGTTCAAAATTAGTAAATTATCAAAAGAAGAAAATCAAATTCTTTCATGATCATCAATATTACTTGATCAAAAATCTAATTAAGAAACTTTTGAGATTATTAAAATTCAATATTGCAAAAAAAATAGAATTCTTAAAGAATTAAAGATATAATTAATAATAGAATAGAATTACTTATCTAATGATCTTGCTATATAATATATTAATAATTAGGATATATTATAAATATTAATAATAAATTATTTTATCTTTTAATTAATTTATAAAAAATTTATAATTTTTAACAAGTATAATTTATATTTTTTTCTAAATCAAAGAATTTAATTATTGATTAAATTTTTGAATATAATATAAATTCTAATAGATTAAAGATAAATATATAAGTGATTTTGTATATAATTAATAATAAAACTTTAAAATATACTTTATTTAATCTTTTTTAACTAGTTTATTTATTATAAAATATTTTATCAAAAATAAAGATATAATATTATTAATTTAGAAATAATATAAAATATATAATAATAATATTTATTATTATTTACTAATAAAGATATATAAATTATTAATAATTTAATAATCAGATAATATATTTACTTATCTTATAATAAATATTATATAAATTATAATTTTATTTAATAATATAAAAATTTCTTATTATAATTAATAATAATATTTTTAATAAGATAATAAATAAATTATATAATTGTAATTAACAAATTTTAAATTATAATTATTTATTACTTAATAAAATATAAGAAGATTTTTTAATATAATCAATTAATAACAAAAAAATCAAAAAAAGATAATTATAAAAAATATTATAATATGTTATTATTATAATTAAATTATTTAATATTAATTATAAAAATTTTGATTAGGTTATCTTTCTTTAACTTAGATCTTTATTTTGTATTATTTGTATCATAAATTAGCTTCTGTATTATATTTTTAGAAGATCAATTTCACTCTGGATATATAAATGATTATTTATATATTTAATACTATTACAATAAATTGGTAAGTGAATTTTTACTTGAATTTATTTTAATAATATTGGATTGGAAGAGACTGAATTAATTAAAAGATAAAGAGAGAAGAATTAGATTATAAACTTTAATATTGATAAAGATTTCTAAGATCTATATCAATATTTATGAATATTATTTTTAAAAGAATAATAAAATACTAAAAATAAAAATATAAATCAAGAAAATTATAAAAATCATTTAGTAAAATCATTAATAATCAATATAATTCAAGACTTAAAACAATTAAATAGTAAAGTTACTATTAATCAAAGAAGGTTATAACTAAAGAAAAAATAAAAACTAAAATAATAAAATAATTAATAAAAAGAGATATGACTTATTTATAGTAAAGATCTTTTACTCTCAAAATAATAAAATAAATAAAATAAAAAGTATGATTTATTTATAATAAAAATCTTTTACTCTCAAAATAATATTAAAAATTAAAAATTAAAAATTAATATAAAATTATAATTCAAATCAAAATTAACTTTATATAATCAAAGGAATAAAACTGAGTAAGAGAAAGAATATTAGTATAATTAGAAAAAAAATCTTTTAAAAAGATTACTATTATTATAATAATAAGCTTTTTAATTATATTTTTCAAA